TTTTAAGTTCATATTCGCGATATCCCCGCTTATTGGTTTTAACTTTTTTACATAGCAACTCACGGGATATTTTAGATTTGAGTTTTAGAACATAAAAGTGACACTTATATTGTAGTATTGTGTATAATAACTGAAGTGACTTTAACGCATATAGTATATAAAGGCATAGCTAGAAATTTTGGGTAGCAACCAAATGTATTCCACATTTTTACCCCTATTTAATTTTTTTCTAAACATTACTATATATTTTGTTAGCTATGGATCAAAGGGACAATTTTCTATTCCCTGGTTCCCTTAGCTGCTCTTTCGATAATATATAATTATTACAGTGTAATAGAATCTTGTATAGGTATATCGTATTTTTCATCATGCTTAGAGGCATAGGCGCAAATTGCAGGGGAGCTAAGAGGGCTTAGCCCCTGAAGTCATAATTAACCTCCTTCCCCAATTTATTAGTGTCCCACAAACTATAAAAATTCAATGTAAAAATATTCAGGGCTTAAGCCCCCCCACCAAATTGAACCAATTTGCGACTATGCTTAAAAGGATAATTTACGCGTACTTACATTATACAATTTTGATTTGCGGAGTRCTAGTATATATATTATGCAATATAATATAGGTAAAAAAATAGTTCAAAAATGAAAACTCGTGGATTGGTCTAAGATCGAACAAAGAATTTACATATTTTAAATTTCAGGTAAAAAATTGTCCAGTATATTTTAATGTAGTCGCTGAAAATAAAATATGTTAATGTTGTTTCAAACGAATGCGGCATAATGTGTCTTAACTCATGCAGTATTTATGGGATTATTCATTTACTATTAAATATTCGCTTGTCGGGTTTCAAGACAAACGCGGCTGACGGGATATTATATGCCTGTCGGTTGCTGTGCTCAAAAGTATGGTATTAATTTTTATTAATTTCTAACGATGTATAGGTATGCCGTGTACGACTATTATATTATCTTTACATATTATGCGTCCCGCGATGTATAATAATTTTTACGAAAGTACGCGTATATATATATGTAACACTTAATAGTTGAATTTTACTATTACGTTCTCGCCATGGTTGGGAGACCTTATACATATTATAATATGTAACATTATATCGTCAATATTATGATAATAGCGGACAACGAACAATAAGCGTGCGGGTACCTTACAAACAGCCACCGGATTCGTATATGCATTATACTCTATTATTGTTATTATTGTCTAAGGCGCACATTTTATTTTTTTTTTTTTTCGTTCGCGTGCGATTCGTCATGATTCACGACAGACGAAACGATATGTCATTAACACTATTATTATTATTATTATTATTATTATTATTATTATGCTACAGCATTATTGAAACAGCGAATCATACCAATCTAGTTCTAGTTTAAAAAATAAAAGAGAATGTGTAGTGATTTAATGACGACGATGACCGGCGGGTGGAAGTGATAGCGCACACAGAATTTTTTCTTGTCATCTTCACACGCCGCGCGTTTATGTTAATTCGACGAGTTTTCGAGTCAAATGCGAGGGACTCCAAGGTCGTGCCGATGTGCCGATGATCAATGTTACGTATATTTCGTATATGATAATATATTGTTATTTATTTTACACCACTCGTAGTAGACATACACACGTTATTTATATAGGTATCTTATTGAATTATCATTCAAATATATTATAATACTCAAAAACACACTAGCCAGCGAGTCTAAAAATAATCATGTATTCATGTTAAGTAGTAAAAAAAAACTAAGATAGAATGTCTAGTTATTTGTAATATATAACATAATATTATCATATTATATACGTATGGTACATTTGAGAAATAAATGGCTCATAGTTGAATAAACGTATATACTGTACACCACAGTTATGGCGTTACATAGTTATGTACTTTTTATTTATTTACAGCCGTCGTTGAAATATTATAAAAGCATATAATTTATATATAATATAATACAGACATTGATATATAATCCCACGCTACGGCAATAATAGTATATTTTTCCGGGACAGCCATTTTCGTCATTTGAGGTTTTTTGTTTTGCGAAATCGAACGAAACAGTTTTCGAGTAACTCCAGAGTTTTAAAAATTTAACACAATTTATATTATCACAGACTATGTCAGCGATTGACTTCTTTCCACTTCTTCATGCAACGTTTCTAATGATTTTGCTAATTATTCATATATTTTGAAAAATAGCTATTCATTTTACAATGATGATTGTTTTTTCTTCTCATTTGGGACACTTAAAAAAGGTACTGCACGTTTGTTCCATATATTGAATGTGTAGTAGATATTGTCGTATTGAACTATTCTACTTATTAGACAAAGAGGTAACTTTCCTAATTTTTGACGAAAAAAAAAATCAGTCAAAGTCTGCAATAAATATAAGAAGATAGTYGTTTTATTAAGAAAATCATATATATATATATTCTACTAAAAATTAATAAAACTCTCGTTTAATCATTATCCCCGTTGTTCAGTTTTAAACCTTCTAGAGTCTGRATGTGCATGGTATTTACTGCACAATTATATAAGCGAGTAGTGTGGTAGTGCTCTGAAACCCTGATAGAATTTCATAATGTTCTCGTACTATCCCAATGTCAATTCTGATCCTTTAAAACGAGAGGGTCGTGATTGCGAAACTCCTGTTAGCATAATATTTATGTATGATATAATATATCATGCCCTACACCTGCTGTATATTAAACTATTAAAGTCTATAATATAAGGATAGAAAAAAGAGAATAAACGAAACTTATCCATTCAGCAACGCTATTGATATTGGCTTCTCATTTTACTTGCTATACTCACTAATATCAATACAAACGCATACACGTATACAACAATATACTATTTTATATTGTTTATCGAATATTATGATATTGATTATCGACGCTGTTCACTATGCTATATTATGTTAGGTCAATCGCATAGGTATACACTGTAATCATCGTGTCTATTTTACCATATTAATTTTTATTAAATAATGTATTATGTACAATATATTCGATATGTAACGATATAATACGAATATAACGATCGTACCTATATTATATTTATATATATTTATATTTATTTATACTCATTGATATAATACATTAATTTGTTATTTATAAGTTATAACTCGGGATATAAATGCGATAACTTGGAAATTGAAATTATTGAAAAACTTCATTGCAATAAAGGGTAATTTAATTTAAAGTTTATCTTGTACAAAAATGACGTACCTACCTATATGTAATTTTAGTTCACGTACATTGGTACACATTCACAATACACATGTAAATTTTAATATTTAATATTATTATATTATATCGAAACAAAGTGATGCAATTATTTGTCCCTTTATACTTCAACAATGAACACTCAAGTCTAAGTCGATCGGTATTTTTTAACGAGATTGTAACAGAGGCACACAAAATTACACGACGTTTTTAGTATTTGATGCGCAGAATATAATATATAAAAGAAGTAAGTATTATAATTACAGTATCATTAAACATATTTTATACTTCAAACAAAAAGCAGGGCCTTTGAAATATAGGTATCAATACTTTATTAAAAACTATAATACGAGTATATACTATATCTGTTATGAATTATACTGAAATATTTTATTTTCAATTATGATGCATACAACACCATGGTATAACATAACGCGGAACTTTCTAACTTTTGATTATGTATAGTATTCATACTTTTAACTTGAACCAATAAAAATTTATGTCWTATTAATTCGTATTTTACTACTAACTCACCTCAGTGACGGCTCGTGTCTTTAATAATTTATAAAAATCATATCCTATAAATTCCTGTTATACGATTAGTAAAGCAATTGTTATTATGGAAAATTAAAATCTAAGCGCTAAAATTAGCATATTTTTCGTAACATAACGGTATTATTTTTACATCAGTATATAATAATTACCAAGGCTTGCATGTTTGTCAAATAATAAAGAAAAAAAAATAGCGAAGTTTGTCATTTTTGTTTTTGCATTATTCACACTTATACGTCCACACGTAGGTATTATAATTAGAGGCAGTTATTAAAGAAACTGTATACGTTTTAAAAAGTACATACAAAGCACTTGCGATTGGTTTGGGCTGTATGTGTAGGTAGACGTTGAGTACCTAATAACGAGTATAAAGAGCACATATTTCCAGCATTAACGATGGGTTTGTGATGATATTGTATTTTATCAAATGAATATACAAGTATAACATACGATCTCTCATTGCTTCAGGGTAGGCGAAACAAAATTATTGTTTTCTGGCTAATGACAACTTACGGTTAAACTTACAATAAATATATATATAATATTATATAACATGTAGATAAATATAAGAGTAGGTAATGAGTAATTTACGTGCATTAATAAAAATAAATAAAAAACGTATAATCATACCAATTTAAAATTTAAAATCCAAGGATATACGTCTGTTTGCGAGAAAGGCATGTAATATAAAATACACAACGATTTGTGACTCTATACTTTTATCGATTGGGTACCCTTGCGTAAAACATATATACATACGGTGCGTTACACACCAATATCAAGTACATATAMCTACTTATTATAATATACTTATATACTTATACATGTGTATTATTCACATAAGCCAGAAATGCGATTAAGTTATTACTCATTATAGTTCGTCGGGATGGGAATACTTTTTTTTTTCTTATTATTTTTGACACATTAAAATATCCTCTTTTCGAGCGTATTATAAATGGAAAACCGGTCGTGTGTGGTGAACGGCGTTGGTGCTTATAATAAAAATAAAAAACCCGCGTGTTGGTGGCTGCAAAAAAAATTGTGGGATTGTCCAAGGACTTTGGTTTTTAGGAATTTTCGCCCAGAAAACTCATCTCTGACACGATGCGATGGCGGTGACGGCGGGGTGACGAACCGTCGCGCCGCCGAGCGGGTCCTCGAACCAGTCCGGCGTACGCGCGCGCGCCACAGTCGCCGCAGCACGCATCAAACCAGATCGTTGCAAACCGACACGGCAGTCGTCGCGAAAGCACACACGCCGTCAGACGTCTCTTCAAAATAATATAATATATAAGGAATTCAAAATAATTATAACATAATAAAATTGTACGCGATCGCGTAAAAACCGGCGGTGACATAATCTTTACATCGCGGCACGGCGTCGTATAATACGATAGAGAGGAGGAGAGGAATATTATAACAACATACGGAGTGGACACCGACGACACCGGAAGACGATGTGCGTGGACATTGTTGAATTAAAGTGATCGATGTTCAAATATTAATATAGTATATTCAAGCTATATGGATCTTGGAGTATCGAGCCACCGAAGACATTMCAAAACTTTTCATTTGGTGGACATGAGCGGTTGAATTTAGACACTGTATACTCACAAACACGCCCACTTCCGGCGCGAATAGATCACGTCTGCAAGAGGAGCAGCGATAGCCGACTTCTCCTCACAAACGTACGTCAGGTAAAAATCGTACCTATTCAAGTATAAGTATGTACATTTTTATGTTTACAACCGCACACCGCAAAACAAAATTTTGCAAGACATTTATAATATTTTATCGTACCATGTTAGTAGCAAGTTTTCGCTACAGATTCCCGATTTTATAAACCTTTCATTTCAAACAAGACATGAATGTCTTTGCTTCTAGCATGTCTTTTGACATTGCTATTTCAGACGCCACCCGCCTAGCCAATTTGAATGTGGTAAGCATCGCGATATACATACCAATTAAAAAAATTTAATAACAACAAAAACAAAGTCGATTGAGGTATTATCAGCTACTTAATGCGCAACTTCCACCTCACGTCCTCTCATTCCATTGCCACTATCCATCTCCCATTATAATGGTAGGTACAATCATTTATTCAAGTGATATACTTATGATATTTTTTACAGAACGTTTTTTAATATGAAACATTCTGCAATACGTCGGTATATACGTATGATGTATATGGTTAGGTTATTTTACRTGTTTCCGTAATATTAGAGAAAATATTATATATTACCTACCTATATTATGTGGGATTACTGTCAATATATAATACTATGTATTATTTACGAGAAAACGTACGATTTGTTCGATATATTTAAATTCTCCGTCAAAAAATTCGTCTACCAGTGAAAATAATACAACGCTTGATTTTATATTATCCCGTGGGATCCTTACTCGTAGTTAGAATTTTTCCGCCCCTGAACTGTATAAACATTTAACACCTTCTCCTCTGACCATTCAATATTAAACTATTTATGCGCTGAATAGATATTATAAAAATATGCAAACTTATTGATTATTTTTTACTTTTATACTTTTAATTTAAAAAAAAAAACAATACACAATTTAATTTTTTTCACATTTTTTTTTATTCGGTTAAAAAATGAAATTTGCTGGGCCAGTTAGGATTAGCCACTCTTTTAAAATTTTCACTATGGCCTATAGGATTAGAAAATTGTTGACCATTTAAATTCTGCATTGATATGCTACCTACGTATTTTCATTTGTTTTCACGGATCGAGTACGACTACACAGTTATTATGATTTTGTGTTAAAAAAAAACCATCATTTGTAAATTAATTACCTAGTTTTAGAATATGGATGCTCACACCGTTTGAGTCGTTGCATTCAATAATACGCTTTGATGTGTGTGAAAATGACCGAAATTCATATAATAATATACGTACGTAAAACCTACGTGTAACTCTCGATATAATTTTACAATTGGCGTTTGACTAAGCMCTATCTAGAGACAGAWAAAGTTTGATTCCAGAAAGTTTTATTCTTCRGAACTTTAACAAGCATTGAAAATAAAACGATAGAGACATTCATTCGGTTCAAGCTGTCGGGGACACGAGTTTTATTTATATTTACTCCGTGCAGGTATTTTGTCTAATATGTTRTCATTGATTTGTTTTTTTTTATAAAGCYCTCTGATCGATGACCGCTATTTKACGAAAACGTTTGTATTACTATACGACATATTTATTTTTTTTAAGGACATAATTTTTTTAGCTATATTAAAATGTGATCTAGGAAATATTCGATAAAAACGTGTCAGCTGCAACTGTAAACGTCGCCATCTGTCATCATGGGAAAAATTATTTTCATGATAGTTCAACTTTTCTGAAAACCACATCTAATCGTCGTCGTTATTTCGAAGGATATCCTCGCATCGGATGCAGCTCGATAGCTAGTAGATTAGGTTTTAGAACAATAAGAAACGATTTTTACCAAATATGGTTTACAGTGGGTTTTGTTTACCTAAATAATAACAAAGCGTATTAACATTTTACCAAAATTCAAATTTTCCATACCACTAAACGCATTTGTTGCACAAAACTAGGAAGATTAAATATATTTTTGAAGCGTGTATCTTTGATACTTTCAAAGTATATAATGATGTTTTATAACCAACATTTTAACGTCCTTATCCATTGAATATACACTTATAAGTCTTAATAYCACATATTCACATGTCGTATTTTTATTTCAAAGATATTTTCAACATACTTTTAGATCATTTTAAATGTTTTCAAACGACTTACTGATCAATTCGTAACCTTCAAATATTATTCAACCGGTTAACTGTAGTCGATTGCTTCAGTAAACATATATTACTTAATGAGTATTTATTTTATCATATAAATTAAAATATGAACATCGTTCAACTATTTTTTATTTTTTTACCAACCTAGTTTTACAATTATTTTRAATTTTTAATATATAATTAAAATATATATTAATATAATAAACATAATAAAATTCTATAATTTATTTTTATAATGCATATTTTAAACACATTTTATATACTTGTGAAATTTTTCATAATATTTTAAAAGTATCATAAACTACAAAGTTCCATAAAGTATTACATATTTATTACATATTAATATTATCAGAATACTTTAAAATTATTATATAATATAACAATTAGGCATTTAATCAATTAAAATATGCGACTTTTTATATTCATATACATAGATAAGTATAATACTTCAAATAACTTTTTAAGTTAAAATAAGTTAAAATGTTAAGTTTTTATTTAATTATTTACGAAAACATKATTTGAACATAATTAATTTAAAAACATTTGTTTATCTATTTCCAAACTTTCTAAATACATATATTTGTATAACATAAAAAAATATTTTGCTTGCAATTCATAATTCATAAGTAATCATAACCACTCGTAACCCCGCATTTTTACATATAGACGTCTACGATAAACTCATGAAATTAAGAACWCCTACTAAAAATGCACTGTCTTCGAGTGATTGAGTAGCATAAAATAAGTTTATTGAGTAAAGTTTATAATATAGATATATTTATATACATATATGTATAATGCTAATTTTGTTTAAAATTTAAATATAATATTCCAAAGAAGGATGATTGATTTATCTGTAAATATTAACCTTATAATAATAAACATAAGGTAGCCAATAGTATATTTTATATTATACTATTAAAACTAATTTTTAAATATTAAAATATTAAAATTTTCATTCATATTTGATGTGACAAAATTTATAAAATTAAAAATGTGAAAAAAAACGTGTAAATTATTGTGTATAACTTTACTTTATTCGCAGATAATAATATGGCAGCTTTTCAGTGGATAACAGCCTTAACGGTGTGCCAACTGCTAACAAGCAGTTTTTGTCTGGAAAATGGTTTAGCTAGGACACCTCCGATGGGATGGTTGGCGTGGGAGAGATTTAGATGCAATACTGATTGCAAAAACGATCCTGACAACTGTATAAGGTAATAATCACTATTATTCCATAATATTAATTAATAAAAACTTTTTAATATATTGTTTATATTTTATAAAACACAAATAAATTTATTGTTCGTCTGCAGTAGACCAAATCATATACTTGTTAACACTTAAGCCGCTTACTCATATTTTAATAACCGTTAATGTTTATTTTTGGTGGTTAATAGGATCAACTATATTTTTTAATATTTTGAATAAAATATTTAAATACAAGATCTCTATCAGGAAATTAATTTTCATTATTTAAATAGATTATCTCAATTGTATATTATTTCTTTATATAGTATACTTAATATTAATAATAGTTATACAGCATTTAATTTGATATCACATTACATTATCTTTTATCTAGGTAAATAGACAATCTAATTATTTTCAATGTAAATGCGTATAYCGTATTTAGTTATCATTGATAATGATAATATTATTTTTAGCTTTTTTCCCTAAAATTTCTTTTTCCTATTTTCGGGTTTGCCAACGCGATAATTTTCGATACTTTCCAAACGGAAATTTCTCATTAGAAACCAATACTTTATACTTATTGCGGTGATCTATGTCGACTATGGTCGGAAACAAACCACGAAATCAACGAGAGGTGACATTTATATAATGCTATGCCCGTCAAATGCCGACCACAAATTATTAGTCATTATATTATGCATTATTCACAGTTTTACGTAAACGATAATAGAGCTGATCGTGGCTACCGTCTACTGCATACTGCAGTTGTAGCCGAAAACATCTACTACCTACAGCACAACAAAAATATATTCCATGCGCAAYCTCRTCAAACTTTAAACTAGTTAAAAATCAGACACAACTAAAGTCAAGGGCATATAGTGAGTTATATTATGTGCATTATATAGTACCTATACAGACTACTGTAATTATTATATCCGAGTAAGGATGAATCAAGTACAAGAGCACATCATAACAATGCGTTCATGACGTCCGTCCTCGGAAATTCGGCAAAAACTGTTAACTAATAATTACAGTTGGGAGATATTTTGAAATAATGAGTAAAAATCGCGTTTTTGTACATCATATCATATCCTCGTCATCCATGTGGAGGCTAAACATTTTAGTGCAATCAACAACAATACGCCGAAACTATTATAGTTCAGCCTGCATACAGCAGTTCAAATATTATATAGATATTATCCAGAAAATAATGTGTATACAATATTATACCTGTCTATAAAGGTATGATTGAAAATAAAAGATGTCATTAATTTTTTTGCCGTAAAAATTAGCCTAGATTTTGTCATCAGATTTTTTTTCCCATCCACTGAATTTGTCAAGCTACGCAAATCGTCGTGTAACGATTACTGACGAAGGAAACAATTGCGATCTACTATTCGGTTACGCAATGCACCGATACCAAGAGGCTGCAATATATATATATATATGTGTGTGTGTGTGTATTATTATGTATACGATATAAATAGGGAATCGATTGTTCTGCCATACGATCTGGCCCAGAAAACTGGTATTGCAGCTGTGAACCTACCTACAATATATTCCTCCTGTAGCTTATCGATAGCAAAAATATCTATAATTATTTATAGATATCTGTACGTTCATATACGTAACAAATAATAATAATACATCGACTGGTTCGACGTCACGATTTTGAGTACAAAAAAAAAGTATATCACGACAAAAACGTGCGTGGGTTGGTATGTATACTATACATAGATGTATGTACATTGTAATATTGGACACGATAGGTATGTATAAGTATCATATATACGTTCTATATAGTTTGCACCTTAAAAACCATTCCATTTATATGGATTTACACCATTTTACACAATTAATGGTGAGTTTATAGTTGAACGTGAGCAGAAAGCGATATATTACAGTAAGGAGCCATTTCACAATATTTATGATTTGACTTAAAAATGAAAAAAATTCCAAGTCTAAAAAGATAAGTTTGGGCATATATATGTGCTATAAAAGTATTTCAGCGATTCAATGGAACTGCAAGAAGGGMCTTCGGCATCAGGGGATCGCCACATTTTCAATGAGGTGGATAATTTCCATGCGTTCGGTCTTTGTCATTATTAAAACTCAAAATTTTTTTTTATTTTTAAAGACAGTTATTGAGGGATACACGTTTAATAATGGACCACTGCAATAATCGACAGGTTGTGCAAATTTTTTTTATGCTTTCGTAAAATAAATCAAAAATTACAACTATTGAAGCTACAGTAAATAATACAAAGGTACCTACTTTAACACGTGCCATTTCCGATCGATCAATTAATTTCAAACAAACTGCATAATTCGGTACCTACCTATATAATAAACATTATATATTACCTATTTGAGTATATATTTCTAATATATACTCGTATGTGCGGCATAGCTACCTAACCAATATTATGATACAGTTGGAGGAACTATTTTATTTGGAATAGTCTTCGTTTTTGTAGATTTTTTTTTCAATTTTACGTTCAGGTTTTACGCATGTTCCGCCGTAATGATCATTTTGGACGAGAATCTATCTTTGATTGGAATTAAGTAAAAAAAATACAAATAATATAGTATATATTAAGTACTACTGCAGTCACGATTCAGTACCACACGCTGCGGCCGGCTGAACTCTATTCCTGCAGCATTATAAACCAAGTTTTTGTTGTTTTTTTTTTTTTTCTTTAAACGATATTTAGCGGAATTATCACCATTTTTTACCCAATTTTTTCCCAAATTTTTTTTTTTTTTTTTGCTGACACGAAAAGGGTATCGAAAGAACGCACCGTGGCGGGCTATTATGTCGCACTTATAATCACGTTGTAGGTCCGAACTCAGACCTTGAACCAAGCTGGATAAATATATAACGCATGTACGTCATACACAAAGTGTTCGTATTCTCCTTTTATAAAATTATAATAATAATAACAACAACAATGCACGAGTGTTCTCCTTATATCGATTATTGTCAAAATGACAGGAAAATGAAATGCGCGCACATTATTGAAGATATTATGACGTTTTGTGGATTCTAGGTCACAATACATGCTAGATTAATTTTGTACATCGTATAGCAGGTACTATGGAAACGCCAGACCCCCAGAGCAGTATACTAGTGACAAACACTCGCCCTCTTATTACTTGCCAATTAATATCAGCATTGATGACGAAATTACGTTTATCAATAACAACGATATTATCAAAATTATTATATTGTATTTTCGAATGTATTTATTAAGTAGGTAGCAAATCTCTCAGATAGTATAATGAAAAAAGTGTCTCCTAGTCTGTATTTTTCATTTAAGTATTATTCAAAAGTTTGTTATACAATTCATTTGTCCAAGTATACACATTATTTATTTATTATTATCAATTTCCACAATATTTTGTTCTTTGCTATATTTGAGACTGTCTATTAACCATTATTTTTACAAAATTGAATTTCGTTCTGTGGATACGCTAACGTAGGCTTAATAGATAATATGGTTAATTTAATTTCTAATATTTTAAATCGATCCATTAATAATATATACAACGGAATTCCTGCAGACTTGGCGAACAGAAAACGGTCATACGGAAGTAATTTGAAATAAACTACGAGTAATCAATCTCGTGACCGTGCTTTATATATATATTACGTAGCTACATTACCGTTTTAGGGAAACCTATTAGCACTCTAGTAGACCAGTGCAAAAGTGATGACGGATTATTAATTATATTAATATTTGCAGTATATAATCTTGTAGGACGATTTCGACGCAAATAACGCCATTAAGCTCAATCAAGTCCCTCTGTCAGAACGTAAAGATCTATAAAATACCACATAACGGCATAATATATACATAATATAACACCCATTGAGTACAATACCTACTCGCTTTGCTGTTATTTTGTTGATTGGGTGTTGAAATTTTAAACGTGGCATTGCTCAACGCAGTTACTATCTAAAGTCAAAATTATGAGACAGTGAACTCAAACAAATTATGAATCAATTTCTTCAAGACGACTGAGAACAAAGTGTTATTATATTTATTGTATAGTGTATTAGTGTATACGAAGTTAAAGCATACAATAGTAAGGTTGTCCACGTAATTATACATTATATTATGTACCTATAGGTAAATAGTAGAATATTATAATAAACTTCATTGTTTATAATATATATATATATATATATATATATATTATGTGTTGTTACCGATATAATTAACGCTTACCTAGAAAATAATCTTATAAGAGAATCTATAATATGTTTACATGTTTAAAAGTTAATTCGTTCAATAATTAGTTTGAGGCAACAACGCCTGTAGAGTTCGTGAAGTTCACGTGTATAATGTATCCGAAAATAATGAAAACCTTGACAACTGCAGAAATTATAATATTATAAAGTTGTTGAAAACTTTAAGCTCGCCTAGCTACAGGTGCTTACTATACCGAAAAGAGTTTTTTATTAAAAATATATTATGTATTGCAGTAAGTATGAAAGACTTTGAAGTACAACAACTATTACTTACTGCTTACTACAAACGCGTGTTGCAGTTATTATTGGATTTTTTATAATTTGCTATAATAAATAACAATAACGATTCGTATAGTCATATATTATAATATTGTTTTCATTGTCTGTTTTGTGTTATGTATACAGCGAGAAACTCTTTAGGACCATGACAGACCTTGTGATATCCGAAGGGTACGCTGCTGTTGGTTACGAGTACATAAACGTGGACGACTGTTGGTTGGACTTTGCAAGGTCATACGATGGTAGACTACAGCCCGATGCCAAACGGTTCCCAAGAGGAATGGCCGACCTATCCGAATATGTAAGCACGCCTACCTACCTATATATTTTTTATTCTATTAAACAGCGGTAATTTACGGTTTATGCACAATGATCATAATAATAAATAGGTTTTTGTATAACGATATTAATGTACGCCTCCAAATCAAGATTACGAAAGTATACCTATATACAAGATAAATATTATTTTATTATATATTAATATTAAAATGTAATAAACATTTTAAATCATAAGTAATATTTAAAGTTCAATAGCTCTCTGCATTCATTATTTTTACAAACTATAATTATAATATTGCACTGTACAGACACCGATACTTTAATAGGTACTATATGTACTATTAAAAATATTGTGCGTAGTCATATTGTCGTAGATATGATTAATTCATTTTTTATAAAAAAAAATATGTGATTTAATATTAAAACGTCATAACTTGCAAGTATAAAATGCATTAATATTATACTGTATCTTCTTATTCGGTTAAAAATTAAAACGATCAAATGTAATGGTTTAAATAAAACATTATGTCTGCGTACAGTTGTATTAGAAGTTAAGTTATGATAATATACTGGTTTATATTATATTATTGCAATATTCAAATATTTCTCTCTGTACAACGCAGAATAACGTCTGAATGTTCAGAAAATTATTTTAATAACTAATAAGTACAAGTATAATGCATTGTTAGTCTTATTAATTATCATTCTCTTTATGGCACGATCGCTTTTCTTAATTATACCACTTTAATAAAACGTGATTAACGGTTCACGCGAAGAAAAAAATTGTTCTGCGGGTGATTTAAATATTATTATCTAATTTATAAATTAAGTGTATATGCATTAACATTATTATAGAATATTGTCTTGCATAATATTTAGAACGTTAACGCACGAATAGAATAAGCCAGAGAAAAAAAAATCCATTAAATTTATTGTTTCTCAATTTTCACGTTGATTTATTAATAATATAACATTGATTTAGCTCAAGTTCTTCCTTTTTATCAATTAATTAAGATGTTTTTATATTATTTKTGTATACATGAATATATGTTATATGTATAAGTTACTCAAGACGATGCTATTTTATCTAGTGCAGTAATTACCAACCATGATTCGTATTTGTATATGCGTATAATATAGATAGTTTGAAAACCAAATTACGCTGCTCGAACACATGGTGTGTATACTATTATATTTATATGTGTTATAAAACAATGGGAAATGTCAATTTTCAACTGAAAAATAAGAAAAAAAAATTAAAAATAAGAAAAAAAAAATAATTTTAACTAGGGCGTGACAATGATGCGACTATTTTGAAAAAAAAAAACTGTTACGACGACAGGACGTGTGATGTGCGTTGGTAGGTACGTCTTGTTCAAAATATTTATGCAATCTTTTTAACGATTAATTCCAACAATTAATATCAGTCTAGTACTATATATAGGTACCTATAGTAATTAATATTATAATCTAATATATTATAGTTATCTGCATAATATACATGTATAATATAATATATAGTGGTAGTGACAACTTAACACATATAAATCGAACATTTAGCCGATGAACTTCAAGACATTTATGTTACTACATTTCCAGTAATTATTGGATATTGCGCAAACTAAAAAAAACTACAGTAATAATTACAATTTTTCGTTCATATAACGCATTCGTTACAGTAATCTTTAACGCACCGTCTTRCTCAACGACCATTATATTAATCATAATACATATWATAGTAATAACAATAACAACAATAATAATAACAACAACAGGTGCAGCAGTACACTGTAACAGTGCTGAACCACATTTACGACACATCACGACGCGTTAGATGTAAAATTTAAATGATATAAAATATTTACTCAGCCACAGACCACAGTGACACATGTATAATATTATACGATAAATAAATTAAATTTAGGTATATTAGGTACCAATTATGACTCATGTAATAACTATGCAATGGATGGGCAATATGCCCATATACACTCTTACGATAATAGGTAATATAATTTAATAATTAGAGAATTGTGACTTGTAAGGAATGTTTATTAAAAAAAAAAAACTAAAAAATATTATATAAAAATTATATATAAACATCATATTACATTATGGAAAACGATTAATTGTATTTCATTTCAAATAATATAGTCAGCACGAGTCCGCTAGATTTTTACGCTGCTGTCTTGCTCTGTTCTCGCTATAGTAAATATTATATTGTGTGAATTTTCATCTGTGTTCCACTACGTTTTGTGTTGCGCTGACGACGGACGGCCAAAGGCAACTTTAATCGTTGAACGCCGATTAGATAAGTTTGTAACAAATTTATCTAATACACGACTTACAGTACATAATATCATATTCTTGTATCTTTGAATTTCTTCACTATACATATGCCACTATTTTTTTCAAATAACCAAAAACCGATTCACAATATTATATGCAACATGTGAACATCGTTGAACGTCTGTATCTGTATTAAGCTTGCTGACTTGATGTACCTATTAAATTATTAATTATGTTCTTCTGCATAATATTATAAGGTATTACATTCGTGGCAGAAAAACAAGAAGTACCCAACTATGTTATTATATATAATATACGTCTTACGCTAATTGATGAATAATGATCGTGGACTTAAATTTTTCTGTATCCGATTTCGTTGCACTCGTGTAATGTATTACCTAATAATTGTATTTATACCGCATTTCGTACCGGAGTCGGGAGAGGTGGCTCATCTCAGCTGTGTCTTCCAACAGTACATATAATATTGCACCGAATAATAATTATTATGAAAATAAAGTATTTAAAAGTCAACACAAAAGCTTTTTGAATTTAAATGATTTTTCAAAATATCGACTCGCGAAACCCAATCTTCTCTCTCTCTCTCTCTCTCTCTCTTTCACTATGCTTTACGAGTATAACTTTTAAAAAAACTTTTAGCCAAGAATCTCTTAACATTTGATGAGCTTAACACAGTTCCACATTAATACCTAACGTTACCTATTTGACTAATGGTTATCTACAACATAAGTAACTACAACCTTATCGTATCTATATACCTACGTAGTTTCGACTTTCAACTTTTGTATTTACATGACATTAAATTGACTTGAACGTTTATTGAATGTTATTGCTCAGTAGGTACCTATATATCATAATGAAAGAATTCGTGTGTACATTTTAATAATATTATAAATATAACACTTAAATGGTTTTGATGTTCGTCATGACGTTGTATAAGTTTATCTCATTCGTTCTTAATAAACGCACAACAATGATAATAATATAATAATCATTATTCATTATTCATTTGTAAATATATTAATATTATGAAGTATACTGTTATGAAAACATTAACTCGTTAAAAACAAAGTGCATTCTTATGATAATTATACAGAATACAGATAGTAGATAATAACAATTTAACACTTAAATTATTTCATCAGGTCATCTAGGTCAATAGGTGTTTATAAATATTGGTAGGTACATAATAATGTGTAGAAACAATGGTTATCCGCTAGAAAAAAAAACAAACAAATAATCATCGCGACTTTACTAACCCAGTTTGGAAAGTGTTTAAAAGTTTACTAGATATACAATTAATTATTTAATATGAGATTCATTATTACATAGTATTATTATGATTAATAATTTAAATTTAAAAAAAAGTTATTCAATACCTATTGTTCACGCTTATATTTTATAATGATGCTTAATTGACAGCACGATTCACAGGTAAATTATGATTCCAAAACTTCTGGGTCTTAGGCGCAATATAATTTAAATGATTACACTACACCAATATTTGCGATCAGTATAGCAACCTAAAATATATTATTCTAAATATACTTTCCTAGCTTATAAATACATTTGTATTACGATAACATACGATATTATAATTTATACGTAATAAAGTAACAAAGAAAATGTGCCGAATTGCGATCGTGTCTGTTAATATCCCTATGTTGATATAACTTTTTACTACAGTTAATATTTTTGAAATACAATGCAAAAAATCATAACTGCAGTATAATGGTCTCAATCAACACTTAACAGCAGTAACAGTACCTACAATATTTTGTAGTCTATTTAAATAAAAAATAAAAATATTGTAATTGCTGTTTTCGATTGTTTCGGAATAATTTGTGATACCTAATTTATGAAAACTGTGTGTTTTAAAAATGTATTAAATATTCTATTAGTTATCTAAGTCTGAAACAGCTGAAAGAGGCTGTATGGATCTAACATGGTAGAGGAATATGTATATTGAGTATACATTATGAGTGGGTAGGTGCAGTGCAATACGAGGTCATATATGGCGAGACACCCTGCATATTATGTTTTAGGATTTAAGTGCTAAGTACAAGTTATATATATATATAGGACATATAGGCAGTAATTAAGTATATTATATTATACTGCAGGACATTTATATTAGTACCATTGTGAGTAACGAAATGAAAGTCTTTTATAGCCATTATAATCATCATATAATATATACCTGTGATTTATATAATGCACATCATAGTTCGTTTATTTATAGCTTATTGCTCTATTTTAAGTCAACGAAGACTTCTCAGTTCTCACCCACCCTCAGATTTAATACGTTATGTGCAATATCAATAAAAGTCCACATTACAAATCATGTTCATGACAACGATTTGGGTGAAAGTTTCGTTTTACTTAATCACTTAATGATATTTTAATGTTCGCAATTTACCGTACAGTTCACACACGTCATATTACGCATCTTAATATTTTCGATTTCTTTGAAAACTGTTTAGTATTATATAGTTATATCTTATACACTAATATTGCCTACGCCCAACACGTAATGTTGTAATATATAGAATAGGTTGCTTAGTACGTAAAAAGTATATTAGAGTATAATATAATAAAACTTATATATAGGTACCAGGTACCTATATAAGTATATTATTATTATTGTTCTTATAAAAACACAATATGTCAGTGCCCTGCAGTATTGTTTTAAAACAAGCGAGATGGATTTATTTAGAAAACAAAAAAAAACAACATTTTGAGTATATATAATTGCATTATATTATATTCAATGGCAATAATAGAGCAAATTATGACTTTCGAAAACGCGTAAAACGTTTATTTTAAAGACTAAAACGTTGTCGGATCTTTTAATTTCACCGATTCATTGCGTATTGGTGTTATATACTTAGGTAAAACATTATATAGCTACTCTATCGAGTCGTTTATTGCATATTAGATTTTAACCCAATCGCAATAATAATAAAATAGTAAAATATTGAAAACTGACCGACAAAAAGGGTTTCTTGGGGAAGTGCTAAATCTGCAATCATTCTAACACCGTCGCTACAATAATATACAATATAATAGTATATTTTTGACTTTCGTTTGTATAGATCCATTCTCGAGGACTGAAGTTCGGCATCTACGAAGACTACGGTAACTTCACTTGTGCTGGATACCCGGGAATTTTGGGGTCTCTCGAGGTGGACGCATTCACGTTCGCTGAATGGAACGTAGATTTTGTCAAAATAGATGGATGTTACTCACTGCCCAAAGACATGGATCAAGGTAAATTACATAATTATTATGATAAATTATATAACAATAATTATATTTATTATTGTTATGAATAACAGTACAATAAAGTTGTGTTATATATGTATATACCAAGTGTCACAAATTAATATTTTAGGAGGGCCACATTAGAAATCCTAGAAATTATTCAYGGGCCTTAAAATTTTCGATAAAATGTATAAAAACCAATGAACAAAAWTGATAAATTTACAATACCAGAGTATATAATACTACCGGTTTGTACTTTGTTTTCTCTTCTTTGGTCTTTGGGATTGTGCTTTGTTTTTTTAATTTACATATAATTTTATCTATTCTAGAAAAGTGACAAATTAATGTTAAACAAAAATATAAAATATATGTAATGACTACTAAGTTAATTAATATAGGGCGTTGAGGGCTGAGGTGGATCCCTTTCTATCAAAATTTATATTGTATGTTTGTTTTAAGTATGCTAAGTCGAGCTTCAAATACGACTCAGTCTTAGATGTCAGATAATCTGATTTTTTTACACATATTTTATATTTTCGTCCTATTCAGGTTATAGTGAATTCGGCTATCACCTGAACAAAACTGGCAGAGCCATGGTGTATTCATGCAGTTGGCCGGTTTACCAGACCTACGCAGGATTACAAGTGAGTAGCAGGAATATGAAGTTATATTATACAAACGTAGGGTGCATTCATATAGTCAGGAATCAAGCGAAAATATTTTAATTTTTCAGACTCCGCTCAGATAATCATTATTTTAAACAACTTGACGTTGAAATCTGGACGTCGATGACGGTTTATTTATTTTCTAAAATAAATTTATTTGCCAAAAAATTTTGTTTTCCGAAAAAATGCAGTATGTCTTCCAAACTATATTTACAAGCAACAATCGTTGATGTACATAGGCATATTTAAATATAATAATTTCATGTATTTATATACCCAAACCTACTACCTATATTCATATTCGTGAAAAGGAGTGCATCACGAATTATTGATACGATTATATAAGTAATATGTCATGACCGTACCGAGACCGCGAATGTTATAATATTTTTAAAGAGCTACTATGATATTATTAATTACAATTTATTATTATAACGAGTTACTACGGACGGACGGATCGCATATTATTATTATTCATTATCATACTGTGACGACAGTTGACAAGGGGAGACGTGTGACGACTATTTCGTGTGACTGGCGGCGGTTCATTACGATAATACGCCAACTATCAGGACCCGTCCACGTGTCATATAATAGTCGGTAATCACACTACAGTAGTTTTTACTTGTTCTTTCCGGCAACACACATAACATTTAATAATAATATTATCGTTATTATTATTATATTTGTCGTATCCCTCCGGGTGTCCACGTACTCGGTAGATGGGGGGGGAGGTAGGTACGACGGTCGATATACGAATAACGACCACCGCCCGGCCTCCGAGCGGTTAATACTCGACACACGTCTATATATTATATAGAAAGTGCATTCGAGACATTTTGTAGACTTGTTATATATATATACATATATCATTAATTATGTATATATTATATATTATGTATATAGTTGGATAACCGTGAAAATTGACAGAAATCGCGATACAAAGCCCCCGGATGACAAGAAATATCTATACAAAATGCATAAAAAACATTATTACGATTATCATAAAATATAACATGCAGTCTGTTTGTTGTGGTGTACTAGATAATATGATATAATAACAAAGTGCCTGACGTGATATGTTTATGTAATTTCGTTGCCGTCCGTTGCATGCTCAATTCTTCGTCATTATATCTATATATGGCTGCATACTACCCTTTGATTATTAGTTATAATATATTAAATATTATTTATATTTATAAATTTTCGGGCATCAGGCTACAGTGCATCCGTGCCGCCGTGTTCACTTAAACGCTATTAGAGAAAAATAATAGAAAACAGTCTTATGGTCTTATCAAACCGATTTTATGTGAAAATAATATTTAGGCATACAATATATCATTATATCACCTATAATAATGTTTTCATAAGTGAAATACCGCACAGTGCGATTTTCTAGCAGGAAATATATACCTAATACACTTCACATTTTACATTCCATGGAATATGCATATTAAAACATATATTATCATAAACGATTATTTTTGGGTCCGACTGCCGAGACTATACGTCTCAGGTCTCACTATACCACGTTGTACGCTATAAAATTTATATGATCAAATATTTTACCTTCAGTGGTATTTTGACACTTTTATCATATCGTGAATCGTGAAAAAATATCTTGATTGTTCGAGTTGTCCGCAAAGTGTTGACAGGCACTGTGCATTTTAATCTAAGATTTCTATTCTGTTCATGTTGAGCGGCATAGGTGTGATAATTTAAATAAGGGGGGGGGGGAATTATGACTAATGTATTTCTGGTACACAACATATATTCTTAAAATGTAACAAAAAAAATCATGGGATTGGAGGGTTAAACAATATTCTAGGAGAAGTGTTGCTCATTTTTGAAAAGTCTTTCTTGTGTACATTTTTGATAGATGCATTCGTTTTACTGGTTCAGACATCATATTGTTATATTACTTTAATAATCGTTGATTATAAGGTTGTATTAGTTATTACTTATTACTAATGACTAGAATTAGGATGTTGATGAATTTTGAATTTTTTTCCTTTGATTCTATACAATGCTATCCTAGTTAAAAATTTGTTTCATACCTACTCCCTTGATGCATTTTTAGCTATAAATGCATTTTTTATTTTTAACATCATTTTTCAACATTTTGAAGTCATTTTTTTCATTTTTTGTAGTCTTTATACAATGTAGAAAATTTTTCTCAAATTTTAAATTACAGCAAGTGTTAAACCCAAGTTTGGAAACAAATTTAATTTATTTATAATTTGAAATTCTAACTTTGGATTTGGATTTTCTGTTTAAGACTGGGTGTTTTATATTGTCAATATAATATTGATAAAACAAGGACTCTTTCAAATTTACGCCGATCATACACGCTTATCGAGTATTATATTTATTATATTTATTTTTTTATTGAAGTTTTTAGGGCATTTTTGTATGTTTTATAGGTCATCAACATCCTAACTCTACTAATATAGTTTATAGTTTATAGTAAATCCGTCACATTTCGTGATTATTTAAATCATTTTCCGCCCTCTATATACACGTGAGAAATATTCACCAAAAGTTTAAAGTCATCCGTAGATGGCGCTACGGGTTTCGATAACCTCWATAATGATATACATTCACGAAATAAGAGGGTAAAATAGAATGAAAAAAAATGTCCTTCATTCATGAATAAATATTTAATTATGCTAATGATCTATTTATTAGCTGTAAAATAATGATTGACATTATGATAATAAATATTCAAATATAAAGTTCATTATTATTATTTATTTTTTTATTGCGTGTACAGCCCAACTATTCGGCTATAACCTCGAGGTGTAACTTATGGAGAAACTTCGACGACATCCAAGACTCGTGGGCTAGTGTGGAGAGCATCATCGACTACTACGGCGATAACCAAGACGTCATTGCGGCTAATGCAGCCCCGGGACATTGGAACGATCCGGACATGGTACTGTTTGATTTT